TTAATCCTGCCAACTGGCCCACATCCCGACAGGCGACATGCGAGTATGCGAGAGTTGCCGGGGACAGACCGAACTGACCGAATTATCAACGCTGCTGCGGAGTTGGCAAAAACATGAGTAGAACTCTGCCGCAGGCTTAGCCGCCAGAGCGAGGGCAAGGAGCTGCGGTTGAAAAATAATAGGTTTATGCTCTGTGAAATGGCAGAGGGCATGGGCAAGTGATTGATATGCCCGACATGTCGCCGCATGAACTCTGTCCTGCACTCACTCTCCGTCTTTCTCTCTGGGTGTCTGTCTCTCTGCCGACCAGAATCAAATTCATGGCCTTAAGTGCTTAATGTTTGATGTCTGCCACTCTGTGTGACTGTGGCTCTGTTTACTTGTGTGGTCCAACACTTTCATTTGCATTGAAAACGCCGACGACGAAGGGGAAAAGTTGGGCAAGCATTCTATTAAAGTTGCGCATTGGTGTGAATAAATCCAAAAAGAAAAAATAACTTAAATACTAAAATAAAAACATGTAATGGCTTTAAATATGTTGGGTAAACAAAGTTTTGCAAAATGTATCACTTGGCGTGTGACATGTATGGGTAACAGTGCGTATGAGTTATATGTCCCAAGAGGGTTATCACTCATACGCACGGTTGGCTGTTATAAACTATTTTATTTACAATCAGAAGAGGGTTTTTGTAAAAGATTTTTAACTACAACAAATTAGTTGGAGATAAAGTGAGCTTTTAATAAATTTGTCCTAAGTTTGTCCTTAAATTTCCTTAGAAATTTACCTTAAAAAGAAGTTTTTGCAACCATTTCACAAATAAAAGTAAAGTAGCCCATTTAAGTAACCACCCATTTAATCAGTCTGTGAAAGAACTATTTCCCCAAAGCCGCTGGGCACTCAACCTAAGTCGCACACGCTCCCAGCTGCAAATCATTTGCATATCTTCTTATCTGACCATTTCTAATGCCCTTTGTCTGCGTCATGCACACTCAAAGGGCTTGAAGATAACGTTGGTGGTAGATACTCGAAGGGAACTCGGCTCAATGGCCCTGCAAATGTGCAAAAGGGCGAAACGCTTTACTAGATGCTTTTCTCCCCCTCCTTTCCTTTTTTCTTTTTTTTTTGTCTGTGTTCGTGCTCCTTTTAATGCTGCACTTTAGTTGATAAGTCAACCATTCCAGCGACGGATTCAAGCGCTCTTCGGATGACACCTGGCTGTGTGCCAACTAATGCGGCTCCAGCTGATGCGGCTCCTGCTACCCAGCACTGGGAACGGAGCTCCTGCACCTGCATTTGTAATTGCATTACTGGCAACAAACATTGGCGCCGACCTTTAAGCCCCATTCTCCTCATACTCATACCCATTCCCGTTTCACAATCGTATTTTCATTCTCATTCCGCTCAAAGCAAATCCCCTTTCGCTGAAAGCGTGCTTGTGTGCCGCCAACTTTAAGTGGTCCTTTGTGCTGCACGCAGTGGCCTCTCCGATGCTAAAGTTGTACCGAGCACTTCGCGGCAACAATGTGGACAGCGCAGCGCAACGCGGCGTATACGCAACGTCGTACTGGATGGCAGCCATCGTGAATACCAATTAAAACGGCAAGCCGCGCAACAATGTGGCAACCTGAAGTGCCGGCAACTATTTTTGCATTCTCTGTGTTGCCAAATTCGAGACAAGCTGCCACCTCTCTGACTCTCTCTCTCACCGGTGAGTGCTTGTAGTTCAGAGTAATCCATACCCCTTCTTTGGGCTTTCATCTTAAAACCTGCCCCATCTAGGCCAAGCAATTGGTAAGCTAATACCCTTGCTGTAATCGAAACTTAACCACCCCTCGGGCAAATTGCTTTTATAATTGAAATACTCAAATTACATATGACCAGCAACTGCAGTTGGCCAATAAAAGTGCTGCACTGACAAGGAAACATGGGTTTTGAAGGGTCTAAAAATAAAAGTAATATGGGAAATTTATCATATAATATTGTACACTAGTATATCTTAACCAAAATAAGTATTTAAGGTTATTTTAACACCTTGTTAAATCATTTAAAATAGCAAGAGTTAGAAAAATAATTATTTTAACCAAAAGACAACAACTCCTAGCATTATCTTTAATTCTTTCTACATTTTCAAATATAAAAAGTAAACAGTTTCAGCTTTAAACCTTCTTAAATCTTTCCAAATAATTTTTCCCTGAAAAGTCTTGGAGACTTGCCTTTAATTACTATTTGTTTAACACGTTTTGTCTTTCAGAGCAAAGAATTTTAGCCAAAGTTAAATTGTCCGGCCAGCGAAGAAATTTCTTACTGCCAAAGTGGAGGGCTTAGAAGACAAAGAAAAAGTTGCAGCGGGAGCAACAGCAGCAGCAGCTCCGCCAGCCAGCAAAGGGATTAGTAGCAGAGCAACAGGAGCAGGCGGAGGCCACTGGAGAAGGACGCATAAATTCTAATTAAAATTTGTGTGCCAGGTGGTAAATAAAACTAATTATACATGCGCAATTTTGCCTGGTGCAAGTGCGACGGGATGCTTTAAAATTGTCGTCTACCCGCCGTAACTCTCTATCTTTCTCTTACTGCCACTCTGTCTCTCTCCTGTCTCTTTGTGTCCTGCCATAGAAGTGAACTCTGTTGGCAAATGGAAAAAGTTTTGCTGCGACTCAACTATGTCTGGCACTGAAGTCTTTTTCGGGTTTGAGTTTGGGCTAAAAGCAAAAATTCAACAAAATACAAAATGCGAAAAACCCAAAACGAAAAACGCAAAGCGAAAGCTGGAAAGAAAAACGAAACGAGAAAGTTTTGCTAAAACTTTTCACAGGGTGATTGGAGGGGAAAGGGGTGTGAGACACCCCCATTTCCCCCTCTTTGGAGGCCGGATGGCAAATCAATGATGCAGCTGCCATAAGATCCTCTAAGCTCAATTATTGCAGGACACAACACAACGCAGACACAGAGACACATAGTAGACAAAAGACAAAAGAGAAACAGAGCCAGAGTCTGGCCATTGTTGATGGCTATATCGTTTGGCAGTTTCCAGTTAAACGTGACTCGGACAAAGGCATTCCCCAGCTCACAAATAGCCAGTCGCAAAATCCACAAAAAAGGAGGAGTGAGATAGAATTGAATATGGCAAAAACGCTTTATCTTGCCGCCTAATAGATATATAAATGCAATTCCGTGCCATTGATCGATTCGCCAGCAAAAGTAGGCAACGAATTGTTCAGGCAAATTCAATTTTCCAAGCTTTTAGAGAGCATACACACACATAGATATCGATTCAACGAGGACCGTGTGCCATAGATTTTCTCACTTGTTCCCCATTTTTACAGCGTATTTTGCGTATAACTCAAATTTAATTTACTGATGCCAAAGCCCATGAGAAAAAAAAACGAAAAGGAAACTTTGATCAAAGCCCCCTGCCCTCCGTTCAAAATTGCTTTTGTCACACAAAACAAAGTATGTACTATATATTATATATACAGCAGGGCAATGTACTAAAAATTGTCGAAAGCATTTGCAATTGGCAGGGGGTTCAGGGGGGAGTGGGTATAAAAATATGACAAAAGTTGAGGAAAACTTTTCCTGCTCATGTTTTTCGTGTGCTTCGTTTGGGGGTCTATCATCTACATATATCCTACTTTTTGCCATGATTCTCCCTCAAAAGCGTTAAAGCCAACATTAAAGTCCTGGACATGGTAAAGGCCATAAATGTCAATTACAGTGTTGGCCAATAAACAAGAGAACTTGCCTCTAAATGCAGCATTAACTCCCATTAAATGCATTGCGAAAAGAACAGAGAGAGAGACTCGTGTAGAAAAAGCCAAAGTTTCATTGCCTGACAAATTGAAGGCAGTTTGCTAATGTCCTGGCAAATACAATGCGACAAGAGAACAGGATCGACCGAAATAAATCTACGCCCCGGGTTCCGTGTGCCATGTACCGTGTCCGTAACGAGCCAACGAGTGGCCCAAATACGGATTTATGCCCCGCTCAATGATAAATTGAATTTCACTCAAAATTAACTGTAAGCCGGGGAAAGGAACGTGCCGGGGCTAAGCGAGCAACACAAGAAGGAGCCTTGGATACCCAGAGACTTGGAGAGATGTCTGCAACATATGCGGCCTATAAAATGTGACAAGGAAACTAACGAAGGCCCCGACGCTCTTGCGGCTTTGGTTTTGGCGTTGGCTTTGGCTAAAACAACACACACACCACAGCTCGCATGTGTGCGACCGCAGCCTCTGAATGAAATTAGGCCAAAACCCGGCCAGCCACTTGGCTTGACAATTGCCTAAGCATATTTGTCATTTGATTGATTTATTCTGCAGGGCCAACAACAGCTGCCATTAGGTTGGCCAAGATTGTTTGTTATTTGTTTGTCTTCGCCGTTCTCCTCGGCTAAGGCGCTTTTGTCAAATCAAATCTTCATCGCTTTCATTAGGGCCACAGATTTCCATAATTTAGCAGGGTCCCCAGCACTGAATCTACATTTGTCTACTGACTTTTTCCTGGATGTGTGTGTGAGTGTGCAGAGAGCCCATAAAAAGTGGCGGAAACCCCTAAGTGTCTTGGCGGTTTTTCGCTGAATACTTAATGTGTATACCGAGGAAGGCTCTGAATCAATAAGTTTGGTACTAAACTTAATGTAAAAAACAAGTTTAAGAGCGAAGATTGAACTCTAAAGAAAGTTTTTTGAAATATTCCCATATATATTTCCAATTATGCCAAGGTAAACTCTAGTTAATCTTTAAATACAATTAAAAAAGCTTTAACTTCCCCCCCTTTGAGCCCTCTGTGTGAATGAGATGAATAAAACGCTTCTACCGGCATGCAGGTCAGGTTGATTAGGGGGTTTTCACAAAGGTTTTCACACACAAGTGTTTGAAGGCAGTGGTGGTGGTGGGTCTACATTCTTTGGTGGCGTTACTTAACTGCAGTTCAGGTGCTAGATTTCTCAGGGAGTTGGATACAGGGGACTGGGTACTGGGGAACGGGTGGCACTCACCTGTTGAGTAGCGCGGCAGTGGCGCATCGCCGGTGGCAATGCAGCCGCCATAGGAGAAGTGGTGACTGCTGGATCCGGTGCCTGAGACCACCGCTATTTCGTCCAGCTCATGGCCGGGCGAAGTGCCGGCGGATACCAGGCGGGTGGATGAGGTCGCCGAGTTGCCCTGCGAATTCTTTCGTCCACGTAGCGAGAGCACCAGCCTTTTGGCTGTGGACATGCCCCCGACTTGCGATCCTGGCTCTAGGTCTTCGGCTCCTGCTACTGCTTCTGCTTTTGCTCCTGTTCCTGCCTCTGCTTCTGCTCCTCGTGCTCTTCTCCACTTTCGCTCCTGCAATGGAAAAATTGTAAAATGTTAAATGGAAACGCGAAACTTTTTCAATATTCCCATGGTGCTGGCGAGCAGCAAGTCTGCTGCCTTCGCTATTTATTTCGTTAATAATTTAGAACAGAGCTTCAAAAGATATGATAATTTCTTTGGAGCAGCGGCAAGACACGAAAGGGGGGGGTAGGGGAGTGGGAGGAGCTTGGAATTTTCATTTTCATGCTTTGCCAGCTCAAGACAGCGTCACAGACACTGGGAGCGAGCTTCTTAAATTATGCAAATGCTTGCAATCAAGGCTAAAGAAATGCCACAGAACAACACAAAAAAAGGACGAAGAACGAGACAAAAAAAAAAAAGAAAGGAAAATAAAAGAACAGCGCACAAAATGATTGCGACATGGAAAATATGAATGGAGATATTAGCATATGAAGGGGATAGAGTAATGACGCTGCGTTTAATGGCTTAAACATGAAACTAAAATCCCTTGAAAAGAGCGTTTACTATTGATTTTAGCGTCAGTCAAAAATGTCATAAAATTGTGTCAAGTTGGTGGGAAAACTCTGAATTGATTGAAGAAGATTTTGAGCTTGTCTTAGTCACGTTTTCCTTGTGGCTTACCATTAATAATATCTCAAAAAATTTTTATTATTATTTTTAAAGCAATTTGGATAAATTTCTATAAAGCCTTGTAAAAACTAAAAGTAGAACAAACCCCCTTGCTTTATGAAGGTAATGTTTAATGTTAATCTATCTTCAGGAAAGATATTTACTTAAACTTTAACTAATGAGACCAAAGATCCCACTAAAAGTCCTTGTTGCGCTATGACTCTTTAGATTTTTATTTTTTTTTGTTCCCCAGGATTTAAGCCTAAAGCCGCTTAGCCAAAGGGAAACAAGCCAAAAGCAAATGATAGACACGAACACGAAACCCCAAAGCATACATACACACACCGAAAACCAGGGGCCCAGACCCTTCCTTCCGTCGTCCTTCGTCCTTTTCCTTATCATTTTAATATTTAATAAGCAGTGCGCAGAAGGGAAGTGGGAAAAAAGCGAATGAAATGAGGGGAACTCAACTCAACTCAACAGCGACTCTAAATATTCAGTTGAGTGTAAACTTGATAAGTTGTGTCTCTGGCAAATGTACAGCATATGTTGGCTTCGCATGGGGGGCTGGGTTGGAGCGGAGTGGTGTGGCATGGAGTGGAGTGGGTAATGCATATTATTCTATTCCGATATTTACATATTATGCCACTTTAAATGCCTCTGCTGGCTTTAAACTCTTTTGGTAAATGCCATTTGACTGGGCGTATACGTAATATCCCCCAACACACAAAAAAAGAACCCCCGAACAGTTACACACATTCAACTTTCCTTTTTTTTTTTTTTTTTGGATACGTGACGAATAACAAATTTGTGGGATTTTGCAGCATTTTGATTGAATCTTGTCGTCGCTGCGGGAAAACTCGGAGGAAATTGGTTGGCGGTGGGGGGGAACGGGAACGAGATCCAAATACAAATATGATTTATGAGCCGCAGCCGCCTGCAAGCCAATCGCATATGGAGGCAGGCGGTGACTATAACTGCAGATGTTGCACAAACACACAAGCTAGAAAAATTGGAATCGTACGAGGGAAGCAGCTTAAGAACTTGTGCTTGACTTATTGCACATCCGGTTCCATATCCATGATTATGTAAAGGCGATCAACAATAATGGCACGACCCAAGGGAGAAAATCGAAGAAAAATTATTTGGAAGTATAAATCTTGGCTGAAAGTCAGTGATAAATTATATAATTCTGTATATTTCTGTATTAAAAATCAATACCATTATCTTGCTTATTTTAATTTTTAAATTTTAATTACTAATTTTATAACAACTACATCTTCTCCCTCATAAACTTTTCAATCACAAATTTCGACATACATCCTGATGATAATTCAATGTGTTATATTTTTGCATATCAACTCCCAAAAGAACCCATTAAACATTCGTTTCCAATGTTTTTCCACCAAGCCATGATTACATAAAGGCGATCAAAATTATTAGCACGAATATCCAATAAAAGCCTGTGGGGAAAAGGTGGTAAAAATATCCTGGCAGCCATCCAGTTTTCCGCTTTCCTTGGGCCAAGCCCAAAAGGCAATCAAGTGTTGCCAAAACCTACGTAAACATGGAAATTGCCTGGGAAACCCAGACTCAAAAACTTGCAAACCCCCGAAAAAAAAAGAAAAAGAGAGAAAATTTTATGACAGGCAAATCGGGAAAAGGAAAAGGTGGCAACGGACGAGGGGCTGACAGCGGCGGGACGCTGGGAGATCTCGGGCAATTGTTTGCATTGTGCAAGTGTCAACAGCATTTGCAATTCCGTTGCAATTTTTAGCATCTTCGTCGGGGCTTTGGATGTAAAGTAACCCGAAGCGTGGAGTAAAAATTGCATTTCCCACACCTCGCCTCACGTGCCTCGTTCTCTTCTTTCTCGTTTGCCACAAAAAATGGTAATTCGCAGCTATCGAAGGTGGAAAAACAGTTCGCATCGTATTCCCAGTGAAAGTTTAGCCAATATTTTTACAAGCCACCTCTGCTATGCATATGGACTTTATAAATATAATATGTATATAGGTATAGCAATTGAAAATGCATATATCTGCACAAATACGAATCCAATTTTCGTGTCAAAATTGTTTTTGCTAGCCGCTCCTAAGCCTGACAGCATTTAATTGCTTTTCCTGCGATTTGAGCTGCATCAGCGTAAAAAAACGAGCTTTTGTTTTTAGCTAATTAATGCAAACCCCCTCGATCCTTTCTCTATCTGAAATAATTCCCTTAAAAACAACCAAGAACTCCAGCCATTTGTCCAGCTCGCATTGCAAAAGACGGACAGCTTCATGCATAAAAAATTACTTGCCATCAATCTCGTGGACAAAAAAAAAAACAAACATTTGCAGGACACAACCGAGAACTGGCAAAAAAGGCTACTAATTAGAGGCAAGAGTCGAGATACTGGGTGAGCACAAACCCCAAGCTTTTCTGCAAAAAAAGCGCCTCTATGTGGCTTCGTTCCAAGCTGATTCTAAAAGTGATTATATACCCCACCCGTCAAGGGCATATTCCATCTGATTAAGCCAAGTGCGCATTTGTCACACGAATGTGACAGCATCCGGAAAAGGGGGAAGCTGTGATGGTGGGAAATGCTGACAAGTTGATGGAACACGATCTGGCGCTGACCACATTTGACGCCCCTAATTACGCATTTTCCTGGTCAAAATAGAAAGCCGGAGAGAGCAAATCTAATTCGTGGAAAAGAAGCACCGTTTTCCCTGCTTGCTGAAGCGCTAATTAAAGGGCTAAGCCACTGAGGTTGGGTTTATAGATGCAAAACAACAACAGAACTTAGTTCTTGTGTCTATTTTTGCTTAAAGTAAAAAGTAAAATTTAAAAAAATTAAGGAAACCTAAAGCAGTAGTGCTCATACGGGTTGAGTATCTCCGCTGCGGTACCCCTGCTTTTTATAATCTTACAAAAATGCAAATATTTGTATTATATATATTTTAAAAATTTATATAAATAAACCAACCGCAAAATTATCCTTATTTTACGTTCGAAAAACCATACTCGGAGTTCAAAACAAGTCAAACGAAAACATGCTGGCCAACAACATACCGTAAATTGACGCCTCTGGCAAGTATCAGGGTTAAATAAAGTTGAAAATCGCATTTAATGCAAAAGTAAATAACGCTTGCCAATAACTACCCATCCCCAACCTCCATTCATATTGTGCTAAATTCCGTTTCGGCCTCCCTCCCTCCCTTTGGCCTGCGTCATCGATATCGTGACCCCCTCGAGCGACCTCATTGCAGCCCCATTTGTGCAATTATATCAGCCTCGACTCGTTGCCACATTTTCCATGCAAATTAATGCAGCTGCCGCCTGCCTGCCTGCCTCCTTCTGCTCCTCGCCGAGTTTATTCGGTCTGTGTTTCTTTTATTTTTATCCATGTGTTATTATTGCGCTTTAATCTTATATCGATTCCAATTTTATGTCGTTATTGTATGCAATTATCATTGGCGCATCCCTTGTTGTTGCCGCAAAATATATAATTGAGCAATTTAATACGAAATTTAGCGATTTTCGAAATGAGTATTGCGGTTGTTGCACCAATATTTAATTGTTGTTAAGCTTTGTGTATTTTGTTAATTCTATTACAACAACGGCCCCGCTGTGGCCTGGGGCTACAAACTTTCGCCCACTTCCTGTCTCTCCTGTCTCCTCTCTCCCGCTAAGAATAACAGCTAAAATAACAAATAAACAAGGCGAGAGGCGAAAGCAAGCAACCCCAACTACTACCCAGTGAATCCACCTTCCCTTTGTGGATGCCGTACATCTTCCCCTGCATCTTGGCAACCGGGCAAACGTGGCGCACGAACTGCAATTTATAACTGTACATACGTGAGCAGTAAGCCAGCGGCGAAATCCAGCGCCACCCAACCCTAAAACCAGCCCCTTTCTGAGGCCAGCGATGGGAGGTTCCTAGATGGTTGTATCTAGATATTGTAGGTCTGTTGGTTGCATTTAGTACTTCCTAACCAAAATTCACTTCGCATCCAATAGATTTCATCGATTCGGAAGATTTAAGTTGGATAAATCTCTAGAGATTTTCAAACGGTTTTATTTTTAAGTCTACCATTTGTTTAAATTAGTTCTGAAAGCCATAGTTTTGTTAAGTAAATTTTCAAGTTTTGAGCTTTGACAATCACATTAAAATGCCTATAAATAATACTGTTAAAATTCAGTTAATAATAGCATACTTTTCATAGTATTTAAAGCAGATTTTAAAACATGACAAGTGTATTCTGGCATTTCCTTTTCCTATTTAATGATTTTAAACACCTTAATTATATTTAAAAATAAAACTTCTCCAGCATTATATAACCTTTAACTTTGATTTAAAAAAGATCATATCATCGTTCTATTTTTTTCTTTCTGGAAAACATGTTATACCCTACCGGGGTTAAAATGGTATTTTTCCCACCACTGGCTGACTGAGACCCTGTGGCACATAAACATTTTGTTAGCTGCGCTTTAGTTCGGACCAACGCTGCTGCCTTTGCCTTTGTGCAAGGTGCCCGCATCCGTGGCATCCATCCTGCAGTTTTCCCCTTCCGCATCCACGTATCTTTATCCCCAGACCTATACTCATCCCCCCAAAAACCCACCCAATCCGCAATGATGGCGCTACAGTTTTTGTGATTCGACAGAGCGCATATAAACAAAAGGGTCGCGGCGTTTCGTGCGAAAAGCGGGCAAAAAAAAAAGAAAATAACAACAAAAACAAAAGGAAAAGAAAAACAAAATGAAAATGAAAAACAACTTGGAGTAAAGAAAGGGAACACAAATGCCAGGTTTGTGTGTGTATGAGGGGGAAGGCTTCACATTCAGATGCAGCTTCAGCTAAAGCTACAGCTTCAATGGCAGTTGTAGTTGTACGCTGAAAGAAAATACTAGGCTTCACAGTTGAATTTCCAGTTTATTTGTACTTAAAACAGTTTATTTTTAGTCCTTGAACTAAAAATGATTGGTAGTAAAAGGGGTTTTTCTTTAATTGAAAATTTTAAAGTCTCTCACTCAAACTTCAATATTTTTACAGTGTTCTTTAATCCGCAACTACATTTAATTTCCTGCCAATTTATTCGCTGAGTGCACATGTAGTTGAAGCTGCTGTGTTACCGGAGTCCTGCAACAAATTTGCTGGCACAGCAGGCGAAAATATGTGCCAGCGCAGCAGCCACGAAAGGAGCCATGGCGGGGTTTCATGAAAGGATATTTCACTTTATTGGCAAAGTCGAAGATGGAATGCGCTTATAGTCGCAGTCGGTATACGGGCGAGGGCCCAGCAGCGACAGCTACAAGTTATTGCCACGCCGGCATGCAACTTCGGCCGGGATCGGGGTTTATCGCCAGCGAGCCATGGAACTTACCGGAGCTCTAATGCATGTGTGACTTGTACAGCAGCGGTTAAAACTTTAGCACTAAAGGTTATTTTCATTCCAGCTTTATAAATATTGCTGTATTCCTTGAAAGTGGCTGTCTCTTCGAACTATTCTTGTGGCCCCAACTGTGCAGACTCTTGTGCCCTACGAAAAGGGTGCTGAATGGGCCCACGGGAGTTGGCAGTGCGAAAGTGCCAGCCAGACACATCCGTCAGCTACCTGTGCCACCTCGGCAATCGTCAATCTTTTGGACGGCCTTCACTGCCGCCTTTGAGTGAGTGGCAGGCCACCTTTATCCGGATCCTCCGGCTCAGCATCCTCAGTCTCATCCTTTTTGGGCCTCCCCATGTGCTTGACTTTAATTAAGCGTCCCATTTGCCCAGAAATTGCATCTGCAGCAGGTACACACAATTCGCTGGGGAAATATTTGCATTCCATGTATCCAAGCACCATCGGTCTAAGCGTTCGCGGTGCTCGAAAGCCTTTGGGCTTAGGGCTTTAGACCAAAGCTCAGATTGAAATTTGGAGTGGTGGAATTTTGGGGGCCTGAGGTTGCCAGTCGCTCCTTGGACCCTTGACAATTGCCGGGCTTAATTGGATGCAAAATTAACTGTTAAGGCATTTAGTGTTTGCTAGGCAAGGGGAGGATGAGAAGGAGGTTGGTGCTGCTGCTGCTGACTGCGGCTTAGGTGTCATCACGGCCGACTGTCCTTGGCTTGCCGCAATGCCACGGGATAGACAAGCCGCAGAAAGCATACTCAAACTTGACCAACATTTAATGAATACTTAATTGAATGAATTATCCATTGATAAAGTTGCTTAAACTTGTTGAAGCAGAGAGACTGGTTTTGGTAAGTAAAAATAAGTTTATATATTAAGGGGAAGTGGTATGTGGATAAGTTTTAGTATTTACTTTAATTAACCTTAAATCCATTTTGTTTCTAGTTAGAAACTACTTAAAATCCCTCTTTCTTGGCTTATGGGAGATATGTCTTATGCTTGATAAAATGGTTTTCCCATAAATCCCACCCACACTATGGGGTCTTAAAAATTCAATTAAGTTGCGTTGTGGAATGCCACATTCACCTCTCTCTCTCCTCAGTGTCGCTCTTGTTGCAAGCTTATAGCCCTGACAGTTGTCCCCTCTTGCCCCTCGTAGCCATACCATTCTGCCTGCTGCCAAAACATGCGTGTCAAAACAATTGTCATTCATTTTGCTCTTGGTTTCGCTCAATCTCTATCTCTATCTAGCTGGAAATTCACTTCGCAGCAACACAACACACACACACACACACTTTGCCCCACAGTCTCCCTTGCAATTATGGCCCAGTGACATGTGTTAACAGTAGGTCTCCCTTGCTTATGTCTGCCCCATTCCTTTCCCCTTCCTGCTCCCTATTCGAGCTCAACATTTCCGCCAGATATTTTTGCCCATTTCCTGCAGCCTTTCAGCCTGAAATCAATATGGTATGGAAGGGGGGAAGAGAGGGAGGGGTTAGTCCTGCCATCAGCGCCTTGATTACTGCTGTCATATTATTTTCACACTTGAAATGCTGCCGCCCGACTTGGCGCTCTCACATATCACCGCCATATATATATATAAATCGATCTGGCAGTCGCTCTTGGTCATTATCAATGCTGGCCATTATGTGACACTTGGCTGTCACTTTACATGCTGCGAGTCCTTGTGCCTGGCCGCTCTAATATCCCGACATCCTTTCGACTGTCAGTGCAGTCAGTCCTCTTCCCCCTTCACTCGTAATTGATGCTGCCAAAAGGATGATGGTGGTTCTATATATAGTAACAAGTTAAACAAGAATAAAAGGCTTTTGCTAAAGCAGCTGTCCCTTCCTACAAGAAATTATATATTGTGAAAAGAGTTTGAGGTAAAATTGGTTTTAGTTTTAGAATTTTATAAATATCAAGAACGCTTTTCATTTATTTTCTCTCTCTCTAATAGCATTCCAAATAATGTCTCCCTAACTCGAACAATCATTTGTAAACAATATTTCCTTAGCATTGTAGGCTATGCCTATACATTCATTACCTGCTATCCCCCCTATACACATCAAAAGTCAACAATAACTTTCACTTTACTTCCTAAATACAGGATGAGGTTGCCCCTAGATCCGGTTATTTTACTTGTTATTTGCGGCGCTCTGGTAAGTGATGTAGGATTAATAAAAACCTTAATAATAACGGGCCAAATTCAAATCATAGCTGCCATTAGAAATAGTGGCCAGAAGCCTACCGCCCGCTATTGTAGAGACAACTCCGGCTATTGAAGAGACAACTTCTGCCATTCCATTGCAGCCTCAACACATTAGCCGTTCGAAACGGGCAATTCCCTCGATTCCAATGGATTTCCACACAAAGCACTTGCCATGCGATATGGACCTGAGAGGCGGCCAAAGCTATATGTCCGCCTTCCCCAATCAGTGCGTTTGGGCCTACAACAATCGCTACAGGAGTGAAGACAACTATGCCATCTATAAGACCTATCAATTGGAGTCATTCTTTTTCGGCCAGTATCATGAGCGCCTAAAGCGCTACGAAGTGGAGCCCCATAGCTACGATTACAATTAAAAGGTTCAGTAATCGTACAACAAAAAATTAATCATTTCAAAATTTTAATTATGGACTTACAAGTTACAAATATATTGTGGAATGATCTCTTTCGTTAGATATTGGACATTTCTCTCTCTCTTTTCTGGTTGGGTAAAGACAAGCCTTCGATAATCGAAAATAATATTGGTATAATCGATATAACTATAACTGTGGGTTAATCCTATGCAGATAATATATAATATATATATAAATATATCGGCGTTTGAATATCAGATGGAGCTTAATCGATCCTTTTTGCGTCGTTTCCCATCTGCCTAAATATATAGCCAATATATTTCAAAGTAGTTTATGAAAAACATTGAAAATAGAATCACATAGGCATAGCATTCACCAATGAAATGGAAATCCACACACTATTCCTGCTTATAATACTACAAATTGTGAGTATTTAGCCTTCTTGTATATATCGACGGATAATATAAAAGGAAGCATTACAGGTGTACAGATCTGGCGATGCCAAACCTCATTCGGTCCAGCACCTTCTTACTCCTGTCCAGATCGACAGAAGTAACTTTACGAACAATGCTAACATTAAAAATTTCCCGAACAATGATCAAATCCAAAGAAGTAACACCACGAAAAATGAGTCAGTGGATGCCTTAGAAAAGAATACGTTGCTCAGCGAACTTCCAAACGTTTTAAATTATTCAATTACGCATATTCCGCGGGAAAAGCGCGAAATTAGGTTAAAAGACATTGATTTGATGTTGGTGCACCATCCATGCGAATTGGACATTGGAAAGCATCAAATGCATAAAATTCCAAGCCCTTGTCGTATTTCGTACCGTAGTCGATACATTTCGGAGGATCATTTCAAATCATATCGACTATACCAACTGGAGGGCTTTACGTTTGGCCAGCATTATGAGCGCTTTAGGCGATATGAAACGGAACAGCACACCTTTGAGTACAGAGGTACTGATATGTTTAATGGTTAAAGGTCGACAATATTCTGTTAGTGCCAAATAAATTGAGTTGTTAACATTTAAAACATTTAAAAATTGAAGTTTTCGATGAAAAACCTTGTCAGTTTTTGTCGTTTACTTGTACCAAATCATTTATGAACTTCCTCCGACCCCAAGACGCTTTTCCTGAGCATCTTCTCGCGCATTTTTGACAGGCATATCGCAAACTGATTTCATTGCAAGCGGAAATTTGATATTTTAGAAAAGCTTTCTCGCTGTTTGTCCTGGCGAAACAGGAAGGGGAAAAATGTGTGTAGAAGCTGCTGTTTAATTTCCCACGGCTTGGGCGTGTGTTTGATCAAAGAGCTCTTTGGAAAACATTTCAAAATTCGATAATTATGAGCACATTTATCATGGATTTGGTTTTAATTGCGGCCCCCGTTCATTTACATTGATGAAACACAATCAATCAATTTCATTCATTTCGGCAAAAAGCAAATAAGGTGCAACGCCTTAAGTGAATTGGATGGCGTGTGTTTGTTGGGTCTCCGATTTTTATCTCCCAATTTCATTCCCGGATAGCATTTGTGTGTAATTTGTAATTTTGCGGATCATCAATCAGCTGTCGTCGGCTGTCGAGCTGCGATTTGTTTCAGCGGAAGGAGGACCGGAGCAAGGACAGGGGCGGAGGCTCGGCTCTTGTTTCACTTTGATTTATCGATGACTTGGCGAAACACAAAAGTTTTCCTTTTAATTACACAGACTCAGCAGGAGAACTTGTTCTATCTGGGGCCCTGGATTAAGTTTTTCATTGTCCTTTCATTATAATTAACAACCGCAGGACCACATCCCTTGTGTCTACAGTTATTTATGTTTGACTTTTAACTACTTATACAATATCGGGTTGGCTGCAAAAATTTCCTGTATATTTGCTAATTTTCTGTTAGTAAATTGTTCTAAATTATTTAGGGAATAAAAAACTACATAAAATATTACGTTTCCTTGATCTGCAGCTTAAAGTTCACAGTTTCCTGTACTCCAAATGCATATATTAAAAATTAAATAGATTTCTCAATGCAAAAGCTTCACTCTCTGTGCTGTCTGTGAATTTTGGTCTGGGAAACTAACGAATAAACGAGTTTTGCCGTTTCACTTTTTCTGATTGAATTAAATTTCAAGTCGGCAGCAAACCCCACCTCAGCCCAAGTTGTGTACCACCTCGGGGTAAGGAGGCGACAACCAACTGTGTTTTTTAATTAATTTTAAATTACAAAATCAAGTGCTGGCTGGCCAGACAGAAAACTAAAACAAAGAAAAAATAACCGAAAAGCATCCAAGTTGATGAAAATTGCTAGTGGAAAATATGATGAATTCCTTGTGCAAATATTTTTTGTATCATTAAAATTTAAGAGAATTTCTTTTTCCCTAGCTCATGGTGGAAATTTCTATGCCGAAAAGCTTTTCTCCCTCGCTTTTTTGCTTTATGGCCAAAACAGCATTTTGCTTTGCTTTGCTTTCTGCCAAGGAGCTTTATTTATTTATTTCCGGAAACGTGCCCTTGAGATTAAAGTATTGCCACCCCCCGTCCACCTTGCTCGGCCATCTGTATGTAACTATGTACAGGGTACAAGTACATATATATGCAAACAGAGATACACATCTGTATCTGTGTGTTGTTCATTTGTTCATTAGGTTCCTTCGCGCCATCCTGCCTCTCCGGCTCAAAATCGAGCTACAGCTCCACCTCCTTTTCCTCCTGCTCCTCGTCTTCCATTCCTTATGCCCATTTCTCGCGCGTGTCTGGGTGTTTGGTCAGAGTTGTTCAAAGTTTTCACACCCACACCGTCCATTCCCCCGCTTGGTCACGCCCCTTAAGAGTGTCCTAGGCGATGGGGGTTTGCTTTACTCAATACACTTGGAATTATGTCCAGCATTTATGTATTTTGTTTTTGAAACTAAAATTAAAACGAATTTAAGGACTCTTTATGTAAACTTTAAAAGTATAACAAATATTCATAACCTGTAAAGTACAAAAGCTCTTTATAAATAAACTTAAATTTAATCATTTTAGCTTGAATTGATAGAAACAAAAGTTGTAATTGTAGTAAATATTAATACACTTTTCTTAAATGCTATTCTCCCATATTTATAATGAACTATGATTATGGTAAAAAATACATCGAATCTTTTTAAAAATGTTCTGGTAAATGCCATGAAATTTTTTCGAGTACACTCTTTTGACCATTTGTGCGCCTCTAATGAAAACACAATAAAAATTTTGCGCTTTTCTGCCTTCCCAAGTGGCTGTGAAATTTTTGATGAGTTTGTCAGCTTGTGGGAATTGCGCCAATCGCTCTGCCAGTCACTGCTGTCGCCAGGCAAATACTTATTAAGCGAACTGTGTGCGCGCCATGCCGCTCCTCCGCTCCTCTTAGAATTTAGTTCAATGTAATTAAGCTTCTGCTCCTTGGGAGCGAAGGTCAAAGTGCGCTTCGTCCCCGTGCTGGAAAATTGTCTACTGCGCGATAATTATTCGATGACCGACTGACGGCCGAGATGACAATTTTCCAAAGGCCGGAGAAGCGGCTGGGATAGCCATAATTCAATTAGTCCCAAAGCAAATTCCCCCCGCCTATCTGTGGGGGAAAAAAGTCAATAAACAACTTCATCTTCGTCTGAAGTTTGCGCTCGGCGTCAAAAGTTTCCAACTTTCCATTCTGTTGATGGCCAATTAGTTCATATTGCCTTTATATACACGTGTAGATCTGAAGCAGCATGAATGTCAAGCAGCAATTGTTACCAATCAAATCAATCACCTGGACTTTGGCCGGAGTATACATACTATATTCAGTTGTTTATATGCTTTTGGCAATATAAAATTCAGTTCACTTCACCAGCTAGCCCGCTGTTATCCTTAATCCTTCGCTGTTTTTTCTTTTTTTTGCTCCTCCGCTTTTGAAACTGACACGTTGCCGCTCTGAGGCGCAAATCTCATTTCCCTTGTGGCGGCGGGAGGCACTGAGAAAAAAAATTTATCATAACACCGTCCTTTTCTCGCTCAGCTTTTCGTTGTTTTTTTTTTTTTTTTTTTTTTTTTTTTGGTAACCCAATTTGATGGCCAGTGCTCCGCTGCTTTGGCTCTCTGCTTACGTCACAGCTTCGCACCTCGCACAACTGGCTTTCTGTGTCACAGACACACGCACACAGAGCGACGCACACTCTCAGAGGGACATACACATTCTCATACAGTTGTGTGCAAAATATTAGGGGAATTTGTTTGATGTTGAAATTAAGTGTTTTCAAATCACTTCAAAAGGCTCTTAAAAGTATGCAATAAAAAATGTAAGATAAAAATTTAGCTTTTTCTGATATAATTCCTTTTTTTTTTGCAGATTTATATTTTCCATTTAATTACAAAAATATGTATTATTATAAAAAGCGGGGATGCAAATATATATAGAAATAAGTGTTTTTAAATCACTGAAAGATGTGTCTAAAAGTATGCAATAAAAAAGTAAGATATGCAGTGAAAAATTTGTCTTTATTTTATATTTAATTCTTTTCTTCTTTGGCAGAATTATATTTTCCATTAATATCTAAGAATATATATTAAGCTGGGAATTATAGCTGAAGCTAAATTTTTAGAATGAAGATATAGAAATCTATAAAAACTAACAATTCCCCTACATCCAGCATCTGTAAACTTACAAAAGCCACAGCAAGTAGGTATGGTCAAGTTATAAAACAAATGTAAATTGTTTTGGCTACCAGGCTACTGCCTCTCTTATGGCCCTTCAAGTTCCCCAAAGACCGACAGACAAATGGAAATGACCACATCTTAGTTGTCTGTTAAGTGCTAAACTACTTTGTTCACCACAGCTGTAGACACCCGCAGAGAGGAGGCGGCGGCTCTACATTATGGCCAAAAAGTGGACGAAACAAACCAACAAAATGCCATTGGAATGGGAGGCATAAAAAATGGTAACAAAATTACATACATCAAAGGTGTTTTTTTGCTTTTTTCCTTCTCGTATATGAATATACGAGTGAGTGTGTGGACGTGAAAGGGAGTCGGGGAGATGCGGGATGTTGTTTAAGGGTTGCTGCGGGCCATGTTGCCGGCCCGGTCGCTCGTTGCCTTTACTGATTGTTGTTGTTGCTGCCGCTGACCAATGGTCCATGTAATTTTTTGGCAAGCATCTCTTCGCATATCAGCGCACTTGTGAACCTTTTTTGGAGATGGGTCGTGAAATATGCGCCCCTTTGCCCGTCGATTGCTTTTCCATGTTACCTTTCCTTCAACCTCAGCCTCGCCCTGGCCCGCCCCCTCTACGGGGCTCGTATCTCATCCACATTTATGATGAATGTGTGCGGGTCCCCATTTCTGTTTTTTCTGGCCAAATAAACTTGGCAAATATGCGGCCTTAGTTTAAAGCCAAAGCACGCGCCGATTGACATCATTAAGCCTGGCCCAGCCAGCAGCTAGTTGCGGCACTAAATCATGGTTCCGGCCTTTCCAAAAAAAGAGATATATACATACATATATATGACAAAAAAAGTGAATGCACAACTAAATGAATGGCACACATGGGAAAGCGTGTATACAGGAGCCGGGGCGGGAAATGAAAAGAGTTTTGATTTATGCAAACAGTTCAACAGAGATAACAAAGGCGAAAGAGTTGGGCAGAAAGCATAAAATTACCCTGTTTGAACGGGAAATCCGGTGTAAGAATTTTCAGGGCAACAAAAAAAAGCTTATTTTCGATTTATTTCCGGTTGTATAGGTCATCAAATTACAAATGATAATTACAAGTCCAGGGAATTGCTCCCAAGTATACTATTTTTAAAAGCCTTGGTTTAATTTCCGGTTCAACTTGGTATGCTTTTCCCCTAGTATAAAGATTTTTCATTAAATATTCCCCTGATTGAAGTTCAAAGCCACCTTGTAGGAAAATGACCAAATATTAAAGGGGAAATGTATATGAAAACTGAGACCAAGCGGAACTCAATCAAGCTGTTAAGCGAATATCCATGTTTATGCGTCTCCAGATGCTCTCAGATTGCACAGAATGGATCTATAAACAAGCCCTACCACC